TAATTACTGGAGTTATTACCCTTGGTTTCATTAATGCGATGCATGCGTTCCATGATGTTGTATTGCACTCATTGATCTACCAGTTATGTTGAATGATTTCTCTTTTAATATCAATTACTCACAAATACTTCATATATTTCAATCATACAAACAACTGCTCATTCAATGTGTGACGGGCGTATTATATACCGCTCGCGGTAACCTTATTAAAAATATAATAATTTTCAAAATTAAAGATATAGATGAACTACTTTGAATACTGAGAGTATGCAGTATTGCATGAATTAATGTAAGTTAACCGCAGACTATATGCGCGTAAACATATCATACGAAGTCTGCCTCCCGCCAAGTGGTGAAGACGAACCAATCACTGTAAATGTCCAAGAGCATAGGCCTGGGATGTTTCTTCGTGAGGTTCTATGGTTGACGTTTATAGTGAGAGTTCCGCCATAGACAGGACCTCCAAATAGTGATAAAGGACGTGGGGAGAACGAAATGTTTTCCGACACTGTGACAGATCTTGACAGATCTTGTTTGGGTTTCACAACCTGACGCGTGACAGTATGACGTTGAAACAATATCGAGCGCCTGTAGCAAATTTGCCTGAAACAAGCGATCAAATCTTTAAGCATTATCTTCTTTTGATATTGCCTTAATAACCCCATTTTCACATCGCATAAAGGCACAAAAGTCACCAACATTTGCCGGATGTTGACAGCAGACGACGTAAACAAAACAGCATGCAACAAAAAGCACGTGAAAAACTCGTCCGGTCAAGGTTCATCATCTTGACCAATCAAAACTACGGAATCTCATATACCACATGTGGTGTATAACTCATATTTATCAAACAGTCTGCATGTTTATGAATGATCTGAGAGTGGAATAACACAGCATGTTGTGGTAGAAAGTAATTTTTGGAACTCCATTTGAAGGTACTTCTATCCTGATTGAGTCCGATTTGGTTTCCTTTGGAAACACAACAGGTACATTTCATCAATATGTTTCAATGAGGCTGATTTGTGGGCTGGACATTAAATACTCACTCACCTTCCACCAAGATGGCTGGGATTTCATTCTTTAATTGGCTGTAAAGTAGAAATGCGTTTCCTACCTGTTCATGTGGGTTTTCTCTGGGTCATCCACTTTCTTCCTAAATAGAGACCGGCTATGCACTACCATCTGAGCCATTAAGTTGTTCCCTGATTTTTATAAATATTTAAAAAAAATATATATATATATCGAGACAAATTTTGACAATTTGACATTAAATTGAAGCAATCATGAATTTCAGTAAATCATTTCTTTCTATTTTTCCAGACCAGCAGGATTTGCCTCAGCTATAAACACCATTTCCAACAACAGCACCATACAGATTTCTGAGGAAGACAAGAAACGGATATTAGACGAAGAAAATATGAAGTTACAACAGCTCAAGGTAGAAATAGGATCAGAGTACTAAGACAGGGTGTTACTTTCATAGGGAGAAGGAAACAATGAGAAGTGCAGTATTGAGTTGGAAAAGGGAAGTGATGAAGGGATGGGGGAGGCAGAGTTAGTGAAGTGATGACTTATAAAGGGATGGGGGAGGCAGGGTTAGTGAAGTGATGACTTATAAAGGGATGGGGGAGGCAGGGTTAGTGAAGTGATGACTTATAAAGGGATGGGGGAGGCAGGGTTAGTGAAGTGATGACTTATAAAGGGATGGGGGAGGCAGGGTTAGTGAAGTGATGACTTATAAAGGGATGGGGGAGGCAGGGTTAGTGAAGTGATGACTTATAAAGGGATGGGGGAGGCAGGGTTAGTGAAGTGATGACTTATAAAGGGATGGGGGAGGCAGGGTTAGTGAAGTGATGACTTATAAAGGGATGGGGGAGGCAGGGTTAGTGAAGTGATGACTTATAAAGGGATGGGGGAGGCAGGGTTAGTGAAGTGATGACTTATAAAGGGATGGGGGAGGCAGGGTTAGTGAAGTGATGACTTATAAAGGGATGGGGGAGGCAGGGTTAGTGAAGTGATGACTTATAAAGGGATGGGGGAGGCAGGGTTAGTGAAGTGATGACTTATAAAGGGATGGGGGAGGCAGGGTTAGTGAAGTGATGACTTATAAAGGGATGGGGGAGGCAGGGTTAGTGAAGTGATGACTTATAAAGGGATGGGGGAGGCAGGGTTAGTGAAGTGATGACTTATAAAGGGATGGGGGAGGCAGGGTTAGTGAAGTGATGACTTATAAAGGGATGGGGGAGGCAGGGTTAGTGAAGTGATGACTTATAAAGGGATGGGGGAGGCAGGGTTAGTGAAGTGATGACTTATAAAGGGATGGGGGAGGCAGGGTTAGTGAAGTGATGACTTATAAAGGGATGGGGGAGGCAGGGTTAGTGAAGTGATGACTTATAAAGGGATGGGGGAGGCAGGGTTAGTGAAGTGATGACTTATAAAGGGATGGGGGAGGCAGGGTTAGTGAAGTGATGACTTATAAAGGGATGGGGGAGGCAGGGTTAGTGAAGTGATGACTTATAAAGGGATGGGGGAGGCAGGGTTAGTNGGGGAGGCAGGGTGAGTGTAATATTTATAAAGGGATGGGGGAGGCAGGGTGAGTGTAATATTTATAAAGGGATGGGGGAGGCAGGGTGAGTGTAATATTTATAAAGGGATGGGGGAGGCAGGGTGAGTGTAATATTTATAAAGGGATGGGGGAGGCAGGGTGAGTGTAATATTTATAAAGGGATGGGGGAGGCAGGGTGAGTGTAATATTTATAAAGGGATGGGGGAGGCAGGGTGAGTGTAATATTTATAAAGGGATGGAGGAGGCAGGGTTAGTGTAATATTTATAAAGGGATGGAGGAGGCAGAGTGAGTGTAATATTTATAAAGGGATGGGGAGCCATGATAGATAGCTTTTAAAACAGTCTGGTATTAGTTGTCCTGGATACTATATTTACTGATCTTTACTGATAAAGGAACAAATTTTGACAAAAAGTGTTTAACTTCAAGATACTTGTGCTGGGGATTGTGTAATACTACACATTTTAGACTGTTTATTCTAAGGTAAATGACTGGATATGTCATATTGGATGTATAGGATAGAAGAATATAGGGGTTGCTAAAATTGTGCATGGGTGTTGGATTATAATGATAGGTGCTTGGATATCGGTGAAATGGTTATGGGTTATTCTGGGCGAGCGCTGTCTTATCCTGTGGGGAAAGAATTCATTGGACTTGGTGTTGGTTTTCCACAAGGGACTGGAATGTTTGTTAAGGTTGGTAGGAATGGTAGGTGGGTTGTGTATTGCAACCAGTAAGCGTTTATGTGTGACATTTCGATGAAAAGTATGGTACGCACCCTGTCATCTTAATCAGACAAATGTGTTTGTCTTATGAAGGTGACTGTGTGTAACCTATAAGTCATTGAATCATCACATATAAACACTTACTAGTTGTGACCTTTCTACAAGAACTTAGAATTTAACTGGATACTAGGGTATTAGGAAAGATGTTAGGAAGTTGGACTAGTTACTGGGTTGTTCAAAAAAAGGTGAGCATAAGGTTAAACTAGAAATGGGGTGATAAGGCAAGAGGTAAACATGAAATTGAAATGGATACTGGGCTACTAGGAAAGAGAAAAACATAATATTTTGTTGTATACTGGGTTTTTAGAAAAGACGTATATATGAGATTGAATTGGATATTGGGCTACTAGGAAATAGGTAAACATGAGATTGAACTGGATACTGTGTGTTTTAGGAAAAGGGTTAAACGTGAGAGTAGACATGATACTGGGTTGTTGGGAAGGAGCTAAGCATGAGGTTTGACTAGATAATAGGAAAGGTGTACACATGATGCTGTACTGAATGTTTGGTTATGAGAAAGGAGGTGAGTATGATGTTGGACTGGGTTATTAAGATGGGTATATATATATAAGCATGAGGTTTTACAGGGTTATCATGAGGTTGGCCTAGTTGCTAGGCTGGGTTGTGATGAGATGTGGTGATCAACAGGATTGATTGTGATCTGCATACAGTGCCTCTTTACATTCACCTCAAAAACTGTCTTCAATATTAACTCTTACTATTGGCTATATACTAATGTTTTTTTAAATTATTTTTTGGCTCTTTAGAAAATGGACATGGTTTCCACATATTGGAAATTTACTTTTCAGATACGAGTACTAGAAAATTGGTATAGTTTTGGAGATCAATTGTGTAAGATTAAAATTATATATCTTTATAAATTTTATTATCGTTGAAATGTTCAAGACTGTCATTGCTCGCTCTTCTCTGTTCCAATGTAAAGACATATACATTTCAAATAAAGCAACCTTACCTATGAGGTCAGTAGATTGTGTAACTATGCAGTGATATTGACTGAACGCAAGGCATCTGTGGTTAATGTTGAGAGGTGTTGGTCTGAAACTGGTGCTGCATTACATATGTGCTTTATTCTTATCCTCAATGCCAACAGCATCATAGCCAAGGTTTCACCTGACACCTGTTTTGTCCATTTTATACACTTTTTGACTTTTTATAGCTATTCCTTCTGGCTACATGTACAATTGCTCTGATAGTATCTATTTGTAAATTCATATTGTGCTAACTTTGTATCCATTGCTTATACTATTATTTCATATAGCTAAAGGGAGATTACTCTTGTTAAACATCTCAATTATAGCGTGAAGGACATCACCTAGGTCACAGTAAACATAATTACATTTGTATCGAGCGGAGTAAAATTTAATCAGAAGTAGTCCATGTTAAGCAGAAAATTAGTAATATAATGTAAAAACTCAAATTGTGTAATTCCAGGCTGAAGCTTTGTACTTACAGTTTACTGCAGTGGCGGACACTGACACGAATCATTGAGGTCCTAAATTTCCATGTGGAAGGGGCTCAAAGTGGGGGGAAATATATGTTTTTTAGAGAAAATTCACAGGCTTTTTATCAAGGCAGGGTCCGCCACTGGCATGTTGTGGGTATTTGATCATTTGTGAGTGAATAATTGTAACAAGTTTTGTCAGATTGAGGTGGATGTGCTGGATGCAATATAACACAGATGGAATACAATACAGCATGTTGTCAGTGATAACCTCTGTATTAAACATACTGATGTGTGGTGAATGTGTTGGTGTGTTTAGTGGATTAACCCAATGAACATATACAGACAGTATGGCTCAGCTGTTGATGAGCCGTTTAAGTTGCCTTTGTATGTTAAATGTTATTCAGTCGGAAAACATGCATGTTTTGTATCAACAAGTGACCAAACGAAGAGATTAAAGCTGTTAATCAACTCACATTAATATAACATGGCTATCTTAGGAGTTAGTCCTCTGTATCTTTGTCATGTTGTTACATTTTGAGGTTTTTACCTCCATTGTTGATAAGGTTGCAACTTGTATCTGCCAGCCATGTTCTACTGTCAGTGCTGGTAAGCTCAACAGAAGTTGTCTCTCCAAACAAAATCTACACTGATCACTTGTTTTCTTTATCTTGTTTATTGAATATTATTAATATGATAATGTTTATATTGTAATGTATTCACTCTTTACTGATAACTTGTGATAACAATATGCACAAAATTATGTGCTTTGAGATTACCTAGGGGAAAGAACTCTGAATTAAGGGGAGACAACTTATTGAGCTGTACAACTTTTGATATTATATGTGAGCATGTGTGTATGTTCTCTCTCTTATTTCTTTGTTTCTCCACATGTCTTGAAGGATCAATGTGGCGCCAATCAACATGATTTTGCTAACCAGGTATATATTGTTACTCTTCCCTCTGTTGTATCTTTATCACTGTTTTGTTTGCTGCTACTGTCTTACCCACCTCTGTGTATGTATAAATCTTGTTAGTCAACAACACAAATATCTTACAAGTTACTTTGTAAAACATGGATATCTATGGTGAAAATTCTTATCATTCTGTTCACCTACTGAACATGTGGCACATGATTTCAAGTTGCACTTTTCTTTTACTGAACGTGTGGCAAAGGACTCCAAAGAGCATTCTTCTTCTACGGAACATGTACAAAGGGAAGTTTACCTCATTAAAACACGAGACATCTCTAATGGTGTCTGTTCCATCATAGCTTTCCTTAACTTAAAAAATCCTCCCTTAAATTAAAAAATCCTCAAAATTTCCAATCATTGCTTTCCCCAACTTACAAAATCCTCCCTGAACTTAAAAAATCCTCAAAATTTCCAATCATTGCTTTCCCCAACTTACAAAATCCTCCCTTAACTTAAAAAATCCTCAGCTTTCTGAAGGTTGTCTAATGCAAGTTTCAATCTTACTGAATTTGCTCATGGATTTTTTTTTTTAAATAGCTTTAACAGCTGAGGTTTTGAGCATGAGAGTTCTGTATGTTAATGCTTCTGAGCTACATATTAGACAGATGACCAATGTAACAGTCTTTATAGCTAGATACCAGGTATTCTCTGAAAGACAAACTTTATTGTCTCAATGAGGCTGCATGTATATTAAAAATGCTATTTGAACTTAACAATAAAAAACATTCAGTTGTTTTATTAGCATGTTGTTAATCAAACTTCCCCTCATGACTATACACTTCTAAATAAAAACCTTCACACACACTGAGTAGTTGTTTCAAGATGGTATACACTTGGTATGGTATTTGGTATACACCTTTAAATAAAAACCTGCACACACACTGAGTAGTTGTTTCAAGATGGTATACACTTGGTATGGTATTTGGTATTTGGTATACCCTTCTAAATAAAAACCTGTGTTAGCTTTGACTCACACAATTTACTTTAAATAGCGAGAAACACGAAGGAGTAAGGTCTAGATGATTCTACTACCATATCGCAACAGAGAAAAACACACCTGTATTTTCATGGTAGCGGCTTTATTTACAAAAAATAGTCATTGATGACGATATTGGTTATTATATACAGTTTGTCATAGACTATTGCTAGCTGTGAATTGCATGTTGAACCTGATGTTTGTGAATTGGTGACTTGGACAGCATGTTTGACGTGTACACAGGTAGCCCTGTCATTGTTGTTCCAGCTGTACTGATCACATCTCAAGTCCAATACATGCCTGTGTCTATCTAGTAGGACACCAAGTATTCTATTTCTGATGGCCTACTGACCCTGAACCTCCGTAACGTCTCTGTTACTTGATGCATGCACCAGTTTATTGGATATTTGTTTACAACAAACATGTGTTGTACTGTTTCCAATGCAACACAAGTATCTTGTATTGTTTTCTGTTCACCACAAACATCTTGCATTTCTTTGCCACACAAATATCATCCACTGTTTACAGTGCTATACAAACATCTTGTATTCTATATGAAACCAATAACTTGGAACTGTTTTGTTTCTCTGACACAAACATATATTCCACTGTTTGTGGTTGGTACAATACAAATATCTTGACTGTTTTCTCTCTGACAGAATATATCTTGTACTGTTTTCTGTACAACATAAATATCTGTAAATAATTTGTGTAAGCTGTAAGGTTAGCTGAGACGGCTTCCCTACCACTTTCATGTAAAGGTTGTTGAATGTTCAGAATACCATTTTTTACATACAACTATATTTTGTAAAGCTTCTACCATTTCAAAAACTCTTAATAGAAAATTTATATTGCTCCTTTTTATGAATGTCATCTTAATGAAAACCAATCTTCTGGGTTTTTTACTTCATAATACTTGAATGATTCTTTTGTTCTTAAATACATTTTCCTGTTGTATGCAGTGCCATTGAGGGCCTAAGGAATATGGAAAGAGTTTTGAAAATGGCATTCACTTTTTACACTATAATATTGGATCCTTTAAAATATTATAAAGATTTTCATTTGATATTATCCTTGTTTGTCAGGAGCAGAGATTAAAAGAGATGGGAGGCAGTCCAGTGGCAACTCAAGCCAACACAAACCAATCAAATCCCTTCGCCTCACCAAACACCACAGGGTCACCTGCATCTAGTGGGGTCAACTTGTTTGGTTCTCCAACAAAAACAGCACCAGGTGGCACTGCGCCTAGTGACGACCTTTTGAACCTTTCAGGGAATCCATTTATAGAAAATGTACAAAGTGTGATGCAAATGAACAATGTCATGAATAACATGCAGCCAACATCACAACAGCAATTTGCAACCCCAGCATGGAACTCGTCGGGGATGAACAACACACCAGGTGGGTACAACTCTCTTAGGCACACACCGGTAGACTCTCTCAGAGGTCAGGGTGGGAGGGTCAAAGTGGAGGGGTCATGTTACTGGAGGCAGCAATTTGTTGTAGATTTGTCATTATTTTGCCACACATTTGAGATGTTTCCTCAAACCTTATACTGTTTATCTTTGTTGATACTGGATGTTGGTAGACATTATTAAAAATAATTGTTGTACTGTGAAGTGAAATCTATGATGTACTGTTTGGTATATTTATGGTACATTTATGGTACATTTATGGTACATTTATGAGATATGTTTATTACTAGTCCCTATTTATTCAGAAATTCTTTTCTGCTATGTCTTTGTAGAAATGCTAGTACATATACTCACTTATTAGAAATGTGTTCATGAGCTACCAATAACTAGTGTTAGACCTTTTTAACTCCTGAGGAATATATGCAGGCATTTTCAACTGACTTAATCATATACAACATATTATTAACTAATACAAAAATATATCACATTTAATTGTTTTTGTATTAATTAAAATGTTTCTAGCTGACATTTTATTTAATACCACTCTGCTTAAATTATCATTTGGTATTTTTAGCTAACCTGGCACGAAGTGCCAAGTGAGCTTATGCCGTGGTGTGGCGTCCGTCGTCCGTCCGTCCGTCCGGCCGGCCGGCGTCCGGCCGGCGTCCGGCGTCAATATTTTACTTTAAACGACTTCTTCTTAATAACCGAAAAGCCTAGGGTGATGATATTTGGCCAGAAGCAAACTGGGATGAAGGTCTACCAAGTTTGTTCAAATAAATGACCTTCTTCTATTTTCAAGGTCACAGGGGTCAAATATGTTAAAAACTTTTAACAACTTCTTCTCAATAACCAAACTGCCCAGGAAGATGATATTTGGTCAGAAGCATACTAGGGTGAAGGGCTACCAAGTTTGTTCAAATGAATGACCTTCAATTATATTCAAGGTCACAGGGGTCAATTGTCTTAAAAAACCTTTAAATAACTTCTTCTGAATAACCAAAATGCCCAGGGTGATGATATTTGGCCAGTAGCA